AAAATATATTATTGATTTATTAACTGAGATAGGAAAGTAGGAAGCTAAGCCAAGAAGCTTTCCAAAGCTCCATAATTTGTAACTTACCAAGAGATGGTGATTTATTTGAAGATCTTGAGAAATATAGAAGACTGGTTGGAAAATTGAACTATCTTACAGTAACTCATCCTGATATTGCATATCCTATTAGTATTGTAAGTCAATTCGTGTCTTCCCCAATAGTTCACCATTGGACAACTTTAGAACAATTCATGTGTTATTTAAAGGGAGCTCCTGGACATGGAATACTATACAGAAATCATAGACATACTCACGTTAAATACTTTTTAGATATAGATTGGACAAGTTCTAAGATTGATCAAAGATATACTACTAGCTACTGTGTTTTTGTTGGAGGAAATTTGGTCTCACAGAAAAGTAAAAAGAAAAATGTTGTATTGATCCAATGCAGAATCAAAATATAGAGCTATGGCATGGTCTGTGTGTTAAATAATGTGAATATATCATCTCTTAATTGATGTTGGTCTTAAAATTACAATACAAACAAAGTTGTGGAGTGACAATCAAGTTGTTCTTCATATTGCTTCTAATCCTGTATTTCATGAACGAACTAAAGAGATTGAGATTGATGTCATTTCATTCATGAGAAGATATAGCAAAAATTAATCTCTATAGGATATGTGAGAACTGGAAAACAACTAGAAGATATTTTCATAAGGCTCTGGATGGGATTCGGGTTGATCTTATTTATAATTAGTTGGGCATGATTAATATCTATGCTCCAACTGGAGGGAGAGTGTTACGTGTATAAGCTTACTTATAGGAATTGGCTTAGTTATAAGGATTCCTAATTAGCATACCTTCCTAATATAGACTTTCTAATCTGTATATGTATGTATCTTTTCCTATAATTAACATAATGAAAAATATTTTCTCCTTTAATATCAATAAATATCCATTTGTAGGAAACATAAACATGTTTATGTTAGAAAAAATGCAAGGTAGTAGGCAAATTTGCTATCAGAAGTTTCGAATGTACCTGTCAATGTTGAGATTTTTTGCACTCATTCTTCATGACGAGTATGAACTCAAAAGTGGCCAGCATATCGATGTTTACAAGCGGATGGATATGTTTTTCTGTATATTAGCACATGGAAAGAGAAACGGGAAGGTGCAAATAATATCTAATCATTCGTTGTAGACAGTATCTATTTCAAAGAGGTTCTATGTGTCGCTATCGCGCTCTCTACAAATATAATCAAACTGGATCCTAACTTGATGAAGGTGATGAGCATCACTTGTTTGACCATAGGAAGTATCCGTTATTCCATACTTGTTGTGTTGCCGCGATACGAACGAGTCAAGTTCATAGGGCGCAAAGGAGTACTGACTCACAATAGACTTGCTGCAAGTGATTTTAATTTATGCTTCACATTCTTGCTGGTCAGACACTGAAAATATACACGATGCAAGCATTTTGGCTTGTACAATTCACAACCTCGAGGTTCTTTTTTCCTTACTCCCTTACCCATTCCAATAAATTAATATTTAGTTGACTCTAGATTTGCACATCAACTTGGATATATGGCATAGTACAAGGGGTCAATTATATTGTTATCATTTCCAGGAGTTCTAGGACGAAGTAACTGGTCATGTATGGAGATTTTGAAATGCTCGTGAAAGATTCAATTATAAGCACTCATTATGTAGAAATGTAATCAAAGGTTCGTTCGGTGTATGGAAACAGAGAAGGAAAATACCTGACCGTATGCCAAACCATTTGTTTCCAACACAAACTGCAATTGTCATTCCAACGATGGGTATACACAACTTTCTTTAATAGGCTGGAGTTATCGATGAGGCATTCACAAGGGTGGAGACCAATCCAAGCGCTGTCGAGGTGGACTTACTGAATGACAATAATGAAATTGTTGTCAATATGAATGTAACGAAAATATCGTGAACCGAGTGGGACCGACTTCAGGATTATATGGCGCACAGTAATGACAAAACGTACTAGTTAAATTCTCATGTCTACTTAGCAATCGCCTTTATGTTCTTGAGAGGAAAGTTGATGTTCATTTCATGTACTTTCTCATGTAGATAATATCATGATCAATTATGAAGTGAGAATTTTTTGTAACAAAAATGTTTGCTCGAGTTTTGCACTGCCAGGAAAAAGAAACCAATCCAAAAATGTTTGTTCAAGTTGTAACATAAATGTTCTCTCACATCTCATAGTTAAATCAAAAATGTTGTAACAAATGTATGAATAATTAAAAAATGAATGAATACTTAGGTGTATGGATAGAAGTCTACATAGATATAATGGTGAAAATGTGTAGTTCATTATAATTGGAGAACAATTTTGCTTGACATACGGAATGCTTCTTCCCAGAAGCTTGCCAGGACACAAAAATAGGGGTGGGTGGGGGGTTTTTTTGACAATTTTTTTTTCGCGGTGGGCCCCTTATCATGAGAGTATTCTTGCAATCTTCTGTGAAACTTTCATCTGTACAAATAGATTAATTCATTGGTGTAATGTCCCAAAATTTCATAGATTATAATTCAATTTATGCTTGCTATATTTTAATATTTTGGAAGTTTAGGGAGACGGAGCGACAATAAGTATATCAATATTGTATTCGTTGGATAGCTCGCAAGTAATCACGTATATTAGGCTTGAGAAAAAATTATTTTGGAATGAGTTAGCCCAAGATATTGTAGTTCTAAGGATTTATGTTCTTTTGTAATTTATTAAGTGGTTTATTGATTTTAAATATGGCAGTAGGCACGTGTATGGGTAATTAAACATAAACTAATCTTTTTATTTAATTAGGATTTGTGATTTAATTAAAACTACAGTTAGTCTTCCTTTCATTCATTATTTCTTTTATTATTATTAAATTTTTTTTTTATTGAGATTTGCAAATCACACGGAAACTCTTTTAACCAATCCTTATCTAAATTGTGGGACACGTTGTGATAAATCAGTTTCATAACAACTTAATTTGTGAAATTTTTGGGGATAAATACATACCGCAAGAAATTGGAGTAATTTCCCAGAATATATACAATTACACGTGAGAACACTATAGAATTAATTTTTGCACGAACGAGGCGGAATACAATTGTTCATGTCTATAGTTAGAGAATTTGGAAAAGTTTTGGAAAGTGAATCTTGTTTTGTATTCCAAACATTTAAGCAAGTTAACAAGGTAGGATATAAGGTGCAGTATTTTTATGTCCCGTTTAATTATTTTTCTTTTATATTGATGAAATTTTATACTCATGAAAGTTAAAGGTATGATATGATATACTATGATGTGAATGATATGGTCATTTCGGTACAACAATATGATATGATATGAGCTCTTACCGGATTTTAAAGATATGAGACGGTATAATTTTCTTATGCATGTTTTAAAATTATTATACAAGATAAACCATTAATTTTATATCCTACTGAGTATTTTCATGTACTCACCATTTTCCCTACTCCTCACAGATTAGAACAGGTCGTTGGTTGGCGGGCGATGCGGTGGAGTTGTGATGACAGAAATTATGGAATTCAAGATAAATAAATTCTAAGTAACATGATTAGGAAGTTTTATTTATTTATTTTTCTTTGCGTTATTTCAGTTTTATCTTCATGTTAAATTTGAAATTTAATATTTGGAACATGGTTCAATTAATTATGTTTTCCATGGACTTTATTTATTTTATAGACGGAACAAGAAAGATCTTCATGTAGAATGTTTGACATAATTCATTTAATTATGAAATAAATGCTTTAGTAACGATTTTAAATCTTTAAATTTTGGGTCGTTACAGTTTGGTATTAGAGCATAGGTTTAATTTCCTGTAGACTCACATGTATTATCATAATTTGGTTTTAAAAAAAAAGGGACGTGAACAGTGACGTCATTGTTCACTATTCAAACAGTGAACAGTGGCACTGTTCAAGTGAACGGTGATGGGTTACTGTTCACGTGAACAGTTTATATTTAAAAAAAATTATTTCTGGATTCACGTGAACAGTGTAAAAAAATAATAAATAAATGAAAGGGGTGTTTGGGTGTTTTGTTTCACGTATGGTTATTACATAAAGTTTGAAGTCTATTCTTCTTTAATCTAAAAGTGCGACATAGACCCATTAGCTACTTCTATAAAAAATAAATAAAAAATAAAAAAATAAAAAATAATATTAATATTAATAATATTAATAATAATAATAATAATAAATAAATAAATAAACTAAAATAAAATAAATTTTGGAAATTATTTTAAATGAAAAATACATATAAATATGTATGTGTATTTGTGTATGTGTT